CAAGTTGGCGGTCGTATTTGGTAACAAGCTAGGTCACTTCGAGATGACGAACATGACATCGAATCCAAAGGTGTCYCGGCAGYATGTCAGCGCTTTTTTCAGCTAAGTTTTTCCTTGATCTTTTCTAATTATGCTTATTTCAATAAAGATATATCTAATGGCTGAGAAAGACGAAGTATTGATAAAAAGTAACATTGTATGATCGATTTAATATAATTTTCTTGTGTAAAATTTGTTGTATGGTTTTATATAAACTGGATCTCATGGTGAGTCTGAATCTGGCGGTTGTGAATGTGGTCCGTGTTCTGGTTCTGGTATATCCGGCCACCTTGTTGATATGGTGGAACTCTAGCGGTAAACTAACTTGAGCTCGGCGTCGGTGTTAAAGGCCCAGTTTGAACCATTATGCTTTGCGCGCCTCTGTTATTGTTATGATTTACACCAAAATACTTCTAGTATCCAAATATCACCATAAAACGAATTTCAGTTGGTTGAAAACTCTTATATTAGCGATTAAAGTGCTTAGAAAAGTGTGATGCTCAAAGATTCGAAACGCACAGTACAATTTATAGACTTTCGGTAAACTGAAAATGGCCGCATCTCGGCCCTCTCGGCCCCCAAAGCATATATAATGGTGCACACTGGGCTTTTAAAGAAACAGTTGCGTAAAATGATAGATTTAGCACCGAAAAAAGTAGGTGAAACAACTTACGGACGTATCGGGCGTTAATCCTTTGTCGGTTTGTTGTTTCACTTACTTTTTTAAGGTGTTAAATTTATCTTTTTAAACACCTTGTTGACAATATACCATTATGTTGGATGGAGCATCAAACACAATGTCGAATGTCTTATTCAATCCTATTGTTTTATTGTGAGCAATATTTTCTTTCGRTAATATATATATTTATCATATAATTATCTATGAAATACCTATATTTCTCCATTTCGTAAACTTGATATTTTCACACACGGTTTCGTTTATATAGTGTAAGTAAGAAAAAAGCTACTTTTTACGACTTAATTTGCTTTCATGTGTAATTTAATGATAAACAGAATATTACATGTTCGCTTGGAGATACGAATGCCGTATCTTCTCGCGCCCATGTAATATYCTCTCTATATATAATATAGGAACGTATTGAAATAGAGGGGAGTTTGATCCTAACTGCTGGTTTTTGGGTCGAGGAGTGTAACAATAAGATGATGCTGTCGATCAGTCTGGTCAGCGACTGACGAAATGAATATCAAGTCTCTTTTGCATCAGTCTCTACGCCATCTTGAAAGGTAACCGTGCCTTTGATATGCATCGACACAAAACGGCCTGTTAACTTACAATGATAAAAACCTTTTTTTTCAGGTAATTCAGATGTAATAGAGAGTTTTATTAGATACGCGTTTACGGCGAACTCCAAACGTCCAAACTGATCGATCACGGGTGATCACTGTTTTTCTGTGTTAACGCTCCGTTCTTTCGCGATTCTGTATAAAATAGATCACTTTTTCGTGCATAAGCGCATCACTATTCCTTTCGAAGTGTTTTTACGTTTTTTTGAAATTTTGAGYCAAAGCATAAAAGTCAATTTGACGTTTGGCGTTTGCAGTAAACTAAAACTCTCTAATTATTCACAGGAATCTATCATTTCAGACTCACCAGTTGACTTGCTTCGATGCAAAAGCACTGCWATTTTTCAAGATGGCGGAGAAAATAACCTCKATCATGTAATCWGCWCTTGAYTCGACACATGTGGAGTTAATCGTTTTAAACTGACCTCAGAATGGCTGTGAGTTATTTCTGCATGGGTCGACTTCTTATCAGTAGCTACTTAGGAGCGAATCACTTAAAAAACGCTTTTAAACGTTTTAAAAAACGTTTATATACTTAGCTTTACTTTAAAAAATATGTTCTCAATTCAAATTTAGATTAAAATCCTTTTAGGAAATAATGTGTGTGCCGAATTGACATCGATATCACTTCTGAAATTATCACCCATAACTCAAGGGCTTTTTTGAAGTTTAGTTTCGTTGTTTTAAAAGTATAAAAGGGGAAATATATTTACTTTTGAATCAAGAATTCTGCGTATAATACACTCCTATACGCGAAAATAATCGATGATTGTGGAATACTTGCAAACAGTTTCATTGTACCTGCGAATGCATGCAGCTGCTAAGTGTAGTGAAATCTAAAAATCACGAAAATTCATTGAAGTGTTATCTTTCCTATAAAAATGTTATGTTCAATAAAATTTTATTGCTAACTCCAGTGCAGTAGAGAAGATAKGGGTTTTTGAATTCGTGATATGYTTTCGAAACCTCAAAATCTCTTTGGTTGCTGTTCAACGCATGACTCACAATAAATCAATTCAATATTCATCGTTGGTCTAACGGGGTATTCAATTTGAGAAGATCTGTTATGCCTTATAATCAAAACAAAACAAAGTAATATTACTTCACTAAATTAACRGTTAATTCATCTCGAGAATTAGCAAAGACAGCCAAGCTTAAAACCKTAGAAAATTCTTCCAAAGTKTGAGAAAAAGCTTTCAAGTTCCTCGGAATCTTTCCTGGGATGAAATTGAGGAATTTTTCGCGCGCTTGGACACTTATAAATATATTGATATTTGGGTTTTAGACCATATTTATTGCATTGTGACAAATTTGCGCGATTCTAGCGATTATGAATATCGCAATATTCATAGTTTATTGTATTCTAAAATCTTCTTTTTCAAGATAGGCTTTGTTTGTTTGGGCCAAAATTGCCTAAGTTTACAATAGCATTCCAAGTTGCATGTATTGGGCCTGAATTTTTTATACCCAAGGGGATATTTRACCACGTAAATAGCATAAGAGAATATCAAATATTTCCACGAAAATATACAGCCAGAAATAACTGAAATCACTCTTTAAACCTTACTGGAAAAAAGATTGAAGAGTTTATGAAAATATCGATAAATTCTGTTTGACTGTTTGAAAAACCTAAAACTGTAAACATCAACATAGATTGAGAAGATTATTGTATTCTTTTGCTTCAATTTTTCATGCATTTTTTAGCGCTCCTGATAAAAAGTTAGGGAATTTTGACGCTGTTTTATAATAGATAGGTGTGCGATGCGATAGACCGCACAATTATAGCTCTTCGGAGTTAAGAATTCCACCCCGTACGAACGAAACTTACCAAAATAGTGACTTTGATAACGTTCAACACTGCTAAATAAGGAAAGCTTAGGAAATTGTTAAAGGATTCAAATTCAGTACTTAAAACTCGGTCATATCTACGCATCTGCAAGTGGGAACAAAAATTATATCAGGAATCAATATCGTAAATGAAGTTTTGCTCGTATATATTAAATCACTGCAGTTTGGAAACCTAACTTGTTGTCTAATCTTTTCAAAATATTAACTGCAGCTAAACTACAATTGTTCTTAAAATTTAGTTTAAAATCTTACCCATCAGCTCGCTTTGAGCGTTGGCGATGGAGGCATACATTTTGAAAGTCTTTGTTGCTTCCTAACTATAAGACGGCCAAAGATTGCTATATGATTTTGAAGTAACGATGTAATTTATCTTCGGAAACTCCATATTGAATTGGTAGAGCACAAATACAGTTGCACTATGRWTGAACTGTTYAGGAATCTAGAAGASGGACTTGGGATTGTTAACATTTTATTAGAAAACACGTCAGGTGATTGGCTAATTTGCGCGGGCTTGGAGGCCAATTAGTAGGCCCGTTCACACCGGGGTATACTACTTATAATGTCTTAAAAATTCATTAAAGTCTTTTGTATGAGCGGGAAACTTACCGCACGTTATTGTAAACGTGTGGACATCGCGACGTCTTGTGTGATGTTTTTATTCAGCGGTTATTACACGGACCTTTGTAATTACTGCGTTTAGCATTGCGGTTACGGAGATTACCCGCCAGCGTATCTTAACTATAACAGTTCCGTAGCGTTAACGTAATGTTTTGAGTCAACGTAATAATCACTGAACATTGCGGTTACGTAGATTACCCACTTGCGTATCTTAACTATAACTTCCGTAGCGTTAACGTAATGTTTTGAGTCAACGTAATAATCACTGAGCATTGCGGTTACGTAGATTACCCGCTTGCGTATCTTAGCTATAACAGTTACGTGGCGTTAACGTAATCTTTTGAGTCAGCGTAATAATAACTGAGCATTGTGVTTACGTAGATTACCCGCTTGCGTATCTTAGCTATAACAGTTACGTGGCGTTAACGTAATCTTTTGAGTCACCGTAATAAATTCTGAGAATTGCGGTTACGTAGATTACCCGCCTCCGTATCTTAACTATAACAGTTCCGTAGCGTTACGTTATGTCTTTGAGTCACCGTAATAATCATTGATGAGCATTGCGGTTACGGAGGTCACCACGCTCTGTATTTTTGACTATAACAGTTCCGTAGCGTTTTTTAACGTAATGTTTTGGTTTTAGCGTTGCGGTTACGGCTGTGCTTTTCGGTCTTGAAATCTTCATTCCCATTTCTCTTCGACAGCCCTTCTAGAAACTGCCGTATCAAACGACAGGCTTACTTTACTGCTTTACGTTTTTTTTTTCCTTTTTTTTCTCATGTTCGTACAAAACAATAACTTTAAGATAGGACGTTTTTTATCCTTTTTACTCTTATTTTTTCGCATTTCTCTTTGGCAACCTCTCTGGAAACTACCCTTTTAAAAGAAAAAAAATAAGGCCCAGTTTGCATCATTATGCTTTGCGCGCCTCTGTTATTGTTATGACCAAAATACTTCTAGTGTCCAAATATCACCATAAAACGAATTTCAKATGGTTGAAAACTCTTATATTAGCGTTTAAAGTACTTAGAAAAGTGAGATGGACAAAGATTCGAAACGCACAGTACAATTTATAGACTTTCAGTAAACTGAAAATGGCCGCCTCCMGGCTCTCGCGGCCCCCAAAGCATAATGGTACACACTGGGCCTTTGATTTGTACTTTCTGAATTTCTCTCGTACATACAAGATAGAGATAGGGACTCAGCAAACTCGACGATTTTTTCATTTAATTCTTAACTTTATTTCAGATTGTTTATAGCATCCYTGCATCACAATTCCTTAATGTTAAATTATTATGTCAATAATGTTTTGTTAAGATGAATCATACTGTTATCCACTAATTCGAAAGGGCKTGATAACGCATAAACCATTGTTGYCACAGTCTACATTATTTATCTTGAAATGGTTCACGCAATCAGCTGTCGTGTTACAATTGAATTCAGTTWYTTKAAATCTAAATGGATCGCCAAGTTTTGAGTTCTCTTTTTCCTGATTCTGACAAGAAAAGGAAGTAAAAAATGAATGACTGGGATGGATAAGTGAATGGATGGAAGGGAGTGAAAAAACAAAGGAGGTTTATCTTCGATAAATTAGGCTTTGAATCATGTAAAGATCAAAGAAGTTCTGAAATGGGAATTATACGGATTGACTCAGTGCTTGATGGACAATTGAATTCARCTACATTTGCATTAGGGGGAAAGGGTTTAGGGTTAGGAGTGAGAAATTAGTGATAAAAGCGGTAAAAAAAAAATGACATGCGCCCTAAATTACATCCCCTGATCTTGCCATTTCCTTAAAAGCGAAAAAATTGCCTCCCTCAATACTTATAATACTAAAAATTGTCTCCATAATTATGTCAGTTTAAYTCTAATGTTGTAATGTCAGTTATAATGTCAGTTTAAATTCTAATGTTTTAAAAAATCGATAAGAACATTTTAGCTTGTTTATTTCTTATTCAAAAATAGATTGAAGATCTCTAATAGTTCCCATCCGATGATRTAAATATAGTATAGAATATAACACTTTTGTGGGATTGGGTTTTAATACTTAAAGATCTTATTAAAATTTAGAATCGGCAAGAAAAGTTTACCCGGTTTGTTCATTGCCTATTTAGAATAGATCAAACCATGTTGATCTTGACAAACCTTTGCTAYAGCGGTCCCATGCGATATACACAGTGGTTTGTTTAAAAGTTCTCAGAATTTCTACCACTTTTGTTGGGATCGGGTTTAAGATGGAAATACTTCACTAAATACTTTTTAATCCTGAATAACTGACTTAAACTTACCCCTACATCTTCAGGTGTGCTTTCGCAGTGGTTTGAAAGAAACTGGAGAACCACGAAAAGTGCCATGACAACACAAACTTGAATGGAGAAATTCATAGCTGTTCGCGAACTGAAAAAATATCAATTGATAATACGAACGTGCTTCCTGGAAGAATTTAAGACGCCTAAGAAAAAGAAACAGATTATAACAATAAAAGAAATGGTTTCCAGTTTGAAAACACAGTATCTTTATGATATGTTACAAAACATTTTGATCGATGATTTATCAATAAATGATCTGATCCTATGTTATAAACGGTTTAGGAAGCTAATAAATGAGCAATTTCTTATAAAATGAATTTATATAATTCCTAATCGGCAATTTAAAAATATTTCAAGATATAATACCTTTGCAGTGCTGGATTCCCTTCACGTTCGTACTACGGATTAAAGGATTGGATTTCTTATTGGTGAAGTTAACAAAGAAAATTCCACATAGATTTAATAATGTCTGGATATAAATCTGGCACCGTGATGGGGGGTGGCAACACCTGTCATCAGACTCTGGTTCAAGAATCTCGTGAACCGTTTACTAATAGGAGGTACATTCCGTAGCCTTCAAAATTCTTTTTGATTTATGATAACAGGCCCGTTCACAACGACGTTAACCACTCTGTCGTTTTGTAAGAAATTGGAAACAAGTGTGTCGACATCGAAACTTCTTCTGGGATGTTTTTGGTCAGCGATTCTAACATACAGACCATAATAATTACTGAACATGCGCATAAGCATGTCTTGATATAAATCTGGTACCGGCATAGGGCGTGGCAACACCTGTCATCAGACTCTGGTACCAGAATCTCGTGAACCGTTTAGTACTAGGAGGTACCTCCCATAGCACTTGAAAAGTGTTTATGATATCATAATAACAGGCCTGTTCACAACGAGGTTTACTACTCTCTGTCGCCTTTTGTAAGAAATTGAAAATAAGTGCGTCGACATCGAGACGTCTTCTGGGATGATTTCATTCATCGGTTATATTTCAATATCTGAGCATGCGCATTTTACTGGGCTCATCTCAACCATAACGGTTTCTTAACTTGAACGTAACGTCTGTTAGTCACTATGATGAATGAATATCTGATCATGTGACAACARTTCTTTTCGGYCTTRCGCTCTRATTTCRCATTTCTCTTCTGCAACCTTTCTAGAAACTGCCGTTTTGAAAGAGAGGCTTAATTTACACTTTAATGTGTTCTTGTTCGTACATAATAATAAGTTAGAGATAGGGAGTCAAGCAAACTCAACAATTTCTTAATTTTATTTAATTTACTTTATTTGAGATTGTTGCTGTCATTTCATCACAAATTCCTCATGTTAAATGGTCCTTTTATGCTAATAATGTTTTGGCGAGATGCATCATGGGATAGACCTTCGTCCTCAATGGATTTCATTCGAACATTAGAAATCCGCCATCTTGATACTGTCATCGATACCATGATGCTTTTCGGCAAAACATACATGACGTCATGAAATAAGCCTGAGGTGCATCATGGGATAGACCTTCGTCCTCCGTGGATTTTATTAGAAATCCGCCATCTTGATACTGTCATCGATACCATGATGCTTTGTGCCCTAACTTACATGACGTCACAAGAGCATTTTCAGTGATTTTTTCTATCCGATAACCAGCAGTCAGCAGCAGTCATGAGAACAAAGTTAAGCAGTACCCATCATTGAAGCAAACTACTCGAATATTCTTTGAATGGTTCACGCAATCAGCTTTAGTCTTACACTTGACATCGTTCATTGATACACTTATTTGATCGCCAACTTTCCAGATCTCTTTTTCTTGATTCTGACAATAGAAGAATAATAATGAATACTCCAGTTTCGATTTCATAGCGAAAAACCACTTCTTTATTTGACAACAGATTCTCTTGCGCAAAGATCTGACCAAACACAAAAGAGAGCACGAGAAAATGTCGTTATTACAATTAATAGACGTGAAAATTTGCATTTTCCACGAGTCGAGACTAACCCTGTATTCCCATAAGACCTAAGGTGTGATCCTTCTTCGAATACAGGGTTGGCCTCAACTCGGGAGAAATGTGAATTGTAGCGCTATTATACTAACAACATTTTCTCGTGCTTTCTTTTGTGTTTAGTGTGTTTGGTTTGTGTTTCTTTTCGTAAGAGAATCTGCTGTCAAATAAAACAGTATTTATTCGGTTGGAATTCGAAAATGAAGTATTGATGGATGGAAGAGACTGGKTCGAAGAAAAATTGACGTCGCTAGGTCAGCACGGGGCTAGAGAAACGTGTTATAAGAGCTGAAAAGTTAATATGTCTACGCTCACTCTCACATACAAAATATGCTATATGCGCCCTAGATTGCATCCTCTCCTCCTTTCCGTCAAAAAGATAAGACATTTATTGCCTCGCTTTACACTTTTGAGATTAAAACTCCGTAAATAGAAACGAATATGGACGAATTTTGATTAATTACCATTCCTGCTGGAATCGGGTTTAAGATTGAATTAAGACATACTATATMCTATTTAATRCTTTTCGATGAGAATAATTRACTTAAACCTACCCCTACATCTTTAGCTGTGCTTTTGCAGTGGCCTGGACGAAACTGGAGCACCACGAAAAGTGCAATAACAACACAAACTTGAATGGAGGAATTCATAACTGTTCGGGAACTGAAAAAGCAGAAAAAAAAAGAAAGAAAGAAAGAAAGAAAGAAAGAAAGAAAGAAAGAAAGAAAGAAAGAAAGTTAGATATACGTGGGTATTTGCTACGCGAAAAGATTCACGTGGGTATTTGCTACCGTAGAAAATACCCATTGTGGGTATTTGTTACGGTAGAAAATACCCATATGGGTATTTGCTACGGTAGCAAATACCCATATGAGTATTTGCTACGTAAAGTGGGTATTTGCTACATTAGTGTGGGTATTTGCTACCGTAGCAAATACTCACTATGTGTATTAGCTACATTTATTTGATATTTGCTTCCCTAATTAATGCACGCTTTTTATATTCACTATATTTACTTTCCTTTTCTACTTTTTTTGCTATTTTTACTTTGAAACATGTATTTTTGCAGTTTTGTGACTTTCTGAAGAAATAAACAAAACAAAACGAGAAATCTTAGAATAAACATCATTATATGAATAAAAACAATCTTATTATCATTTTGAATACTGTTTTAGTCACTGCCACTGCTATTATGTTTTCTTATACTATTGATATCGCGCTCACAGGTGTGTTTTGATTTATTTTAATTGATAATTCTGTTTTTATTTCGTTTTTATTGCCATAATCATCGTTTATATCACTGTAAATGATAATATCATCGATATCATTGAACTAAACATCGTTGTTATCATTTCAAATGGAGTTAACATCGCAATCATAAACGTATTCAACGTTACTAGCAATACTAATGATGTTATCATCACTATCACAGCCAAAATCATCGTTATTATCACACTGTAAACATCGTCTGTCATAGCTGTTATCATCATTAACTATTATCATTCTCAATAATGTACTCATTTTTTTCAATGTAAATAATTGTAATCATCACTATCATACATCATCGTTATTATCAATGAGCCGACTGTAATTATCTATATTATACGTGTATTCATCGTCATTGTCAATGTGCAGACTGTAATCATCACTATCATACATGTAATCATCGTTATTATCAATGCGTAGACTGTAATCATTACTGTCATACGTGTAATCATCGTTATTATCAATGCGTAGACTGTAATCATCACTATCATACGTGTAATCATCGTTATTATCAATGCGTAGACTGTAATCATCACGATTACACGTGTAATCATCGTTATTATCAATGTGCAGGCTGTAATCATCACTATCATACATGTTATGATCGTTATAATCAATGCGCGGACTGTAATCATCGCTATCATACATGTAATCATCGTTCTAATCAATGCGCAGACTGTAATTATCTATATTACAGGTGTATTCATCGTTATTATCAATGTGCAGACTATAATCATCACTATCATGCATTTAATCATCGTTGTTATCAATGCGTAGACTGTAATTATCAATGTTATACGTGTATTCATCGTTATCAACAATGAGCAGACTGTAATCATCACTAACATACATGTAATCATCGTTATTATCAATGTGCAGACTGTAATCATCACTATCATACNAGTTAGATATACGTGGGTATTTGCTACGCGAAAAGATTCACGTGGGTATTTGCTACCGTAGAAAATACCCATTGTGGGTATTTGTTACGGTAGAAAATACCCATATGGGTATTTGCTACGGTAGCAAATACCCATATGAGTATTTGCTACGTAAAGTGGGTATTTGCTACGGTATCAAATACCMACGGCGGGTATTTGCTACCGTATCAAATACCCCTATGGGTATTTGCTACATTAGTGTGGGTATTTGCTACTGTAGCAAATACTCACTATGTGTATTAGCTACATTTATTTGATACTTGCTTCCCTAATAAATACACGCTCTTTATATTCACTATATTTACTTTTCTTTTCTACTTTTTTTGCTACTTTTACTTTGAAACATGTATTTTTGCAGTTTTGTGACTTTCTGAAGAAATAAACAACAACAAAAAACGAGAAATCTTATAATAAACATCATTATATGAATAAAAACAATCTTATTATCATTTTGAATACTGTTTTAGTCACTGTCACTGCTATTATGTTTTCTTATACTATTAATATCGCGCTCWCAGGTGTGTTTTGATTTRTTTTAATTGATAATTMTGTTTTTATTTCGTTTTTATTGCCATAATCATCGTTTATATCACTGTAAATGATAATATCATCGATATCATTGAACTAAACWTCGTTGTTATCATTTCAAATGGAGTTAATATCRCAATCATAAGCGTATTCAGCGTTACTAGCAATACTAATGATGTTATCATCACTATCACAGCCAAAATCATCGTTATTATCACTCTGTAAACATCGTCTGTCATAGCTGTTATCATCGTTAACTATTATCATTCTCAATAATGGAATGTAATTTTTTTTCAATGTAAATATTTGTAATCATCACTATCATACATGTAATCATCGTTATTATCAATGAGCCGACTGTAATTATCAATATTATACGTGTATTAATCGTTATTATCAATGCGTAGACAGTAATCATCACTATCATACATGTAATCATCGTTGTTATCAATGCGCAGACTGTAATTATCAATATTATACGTGTATTAATCGTTATTATCAATGCGTAGACAGTAATCATCACTATCATACATGTAATCATCGTTGTTATCAATGCGCAGACTGTAATTATCAATATTATACGTGTATTAATCGTTATTATCAATG